TTTTAAATAATAAAAATAATTATAAGTTATAAAATTAAAACTATTCATATCACATTTTATCTTGTTTATAATTATTAGCAAATAATCTTATAACTTGATAGTAGTAGATATGATTATTACAAATATCACTCTCTAATATTTTACATATTATACATAATATTTACTTTAATAAAGTTATCTATTTTAGAGAATTTCTTTATTAATCTGAAATCTTTGTTATTCCAAATTGTTCACATGATTTAATCAGTTTGAATATCTAATAAAAATTCATTTATTTTATTATTATATTATTTATTATGATATATATACTATATAAATTTTTACGTAAAACTAATATAATTGTAAATTCTTGTTTATCTTTTTTTTTGCATAATATTTTCAAGAATATTCTTATATAATTTGATTAAGCTTTATAATTCCATATTTAACTTCTCTTGTTATATATATAATAAAAGATTATCAATATTATTAATTATTTTTACTGATGATATCTTTCTCACTTTCTCTAGTTTCTCCTTCTTCTTCTCCTCCCCTTCTTTTGAATATTCTTGAATAGTTACTATAATTTCTCTCATCATGCATGAGTCTTGTTTTTCAGTATAATCAATTATATTATAAGTTTCTTCCTTTAAATTAATATATTCACAAACTGCAATCATAAATTCTTCTAATAGTAGTTGTTCTACTAAATTAATTATTTTAGATTCAAAATTCTCTTCAGTTTTATTTGCTATTAAATATGATACTATACTATCAATAGCAAGATTCTACTTTTGTATCATGATGATTATATAATTCTTGAAATTACCTAATTCTATATCTTAGCTGCAAAGTTAATAATATCAAGAATTATTAATAGAGATAATTGTTGAGATAATATAGATATTTCTATAGTAAATTCTATATAAATATATAATACATTATATTTTTTAATTCAATTCTCACATAATAGTGACTAAAGATGACTTCTCAATTATTTATTTAAATTTTAATAGTTATGATTTTTGTTGGTAGTTGCAATATATGTGTCACAATTAGCCACAATTATGTCATTAATGATATCATCAGTTTTAGCCAATCAAATTTTAGATATTATATTATTATATAATTTTAAATAAATAACTTT